ACGCAGGATCAGTTTACCATCATGCACATCAATCAACGCCTTGGCGGTGGCAAGAAATGGTCTACCCAGAATCAAAGGCACATCCACATCATCATTTATGTCCAGGATAACAAAATCAACAGGATATGTGAATGCACCAACATTAACTAGCAGATCCTCTATGATACCCCTAGGATGCACAACGGATCGGTCAGCTAGTTGAATGCTCATCCTAGTAGGGCTAAGTTCACCTAGGTCTAGCTTTTTGAACAATTTGTATGGCATGACATTAATGCTAGCGCCTAGGTCCGCCAAGGACTTTTCTACATGCATGCTGCCAATAGTAAGAGGGATAGTAAAACTCCCTGGATCCTTGCGCTTTTCGGGCAGCTTGTTCTGCAGGATGGCAGAACACTCCTCGCTCAGCAGCACTGTCGAGAGATCCCCGAGTTTCTTCTTGTTGGTGCAGAGATCTTTCATGAACTTCGCGTACTTGGGCATCTTCGACAGTGCTTCCACAAATGGTACGCTGATGTTGAGCTGCTTCAACATTGCCATAAACTTGGCAAACTCAGTCTCCAGCTTGTCTTTGTGAAGGCGAGTGGGAAAGGGAAGCTGGGGTATGTGCTCCTTCACCACTGGTTGTGGCTTGGGAGCAAGGGCTTCCTTCTCCACCCGCGCTTCTGCATCACCGGCTGGAAGTGCTGAAGCAGGTAGTGGTGCCTCCTGCCTGGTCGGGGCAGGCTCAGCTGATGTAGGCCTGCCGCTCAGGGTGAAAATGGCATGTGCGGTCTCATGCGGGTCCCGTGGATTGGGGATGGTGGTGGCAGGTAGAGTCCCCGGGGCCCGAGCAGTAAGCTGGCACGCTAGGACACCGATCGACTTGGTGCTGTAGATCTTGCAGAATAGCACCCTGGTTCCTCTGCCCTGCCTCCAAAGAGGCTATGCTCTGGTCCACCCTCGTGAAATTCGCCTGGCTGGTGGTCATGAATGTCGCCAAAATATTCTTTAGATCAGCCATCTGATTATCTGGAGCTGCGGTTGGTGGAGGCTGAGCAAACTGGCCCTGGGGCTGCTGGAATGGCTGCCCTTGCCTAGGCTGGTAGGGCTGCTGCTGTGGTGGTGGCCCCTGCCTAGCCTGGAAGGGCTGCCTCTGCTGAAAACCACTTGTTGGTGCTGGGAAACCAGGTGGTTTGTTGGTGTTGCTGCTCCAGGCAAAATTGGGGTGCTGGCGCCATCCCTCATTGTAGGTACTGCTGTATGGGTCGAGGCGCCGAGCATTGGCGATGAAGGCCATCTGCTCTTGGGGAGTAGAAGACTCCCTCATAGACTGACAATCCTCCACCAGGTGGTTCGGGCTTTCACACCACTGACACTGAGCTACTGGAGGCGTAGCTACACCTCGGCCCGGAAGGAGGCCGTTAGGCTGCTTCAATGTCTGCACCAACTCAGCCACCTGCTGCTCTAACCTGGATCTGGCCTCCATAGCATGCACACCCCGGTCCCGGGAATTCCTTCCTCTGTTGTTCTGTCCCCAAGAATGATCTCGGGCAGCCAAGGTACTGATCATCTGGTTCAGCTCGGGTGGAGTCTTAGTAAGGATATCCCCTCCTGGGCATAGAGACTCAATCACCCTCTGGCTGTCTGGGGTGAGGGCACTGTAGAAGTTCCCCACTGTGAAAGCATCGCTGAAGCCGTGATGGGGACACTGCTAGAAGTTTCCCATGTACCGCTCCCATGCATCACGAAGTGACTCATCTGGCTCTTGGCGGAAGTGAGTGATCTCCCGCTGGATCTCCGTGGTCTTCGATGCCGGATAATACCGGTGCACGAACTTGTCAGCCAGATCGTCCCAAGAGGTGATGGATAATGGGGGCTGGGTCTCCAACCACCTCTTAGCATTCCCCGCCAGAGAATGGGGGAAGAGATGAAGGCGGATTGCGTCATCCGGGACACCATTCAGCTTGAACCCGTTCTTCAGCTGCAGAAAACGGGAAAGATGTACCCGGGCTTCCTCATCCTTCAAGCCATGGAACTGGATAGAGGATGTGATGAGTTGAATCCAGCATGGCTTGATCTCGAAGTTGTTTGCTGGAATGGGCGGATAGAGGATGACCGGGCGGATGTCAGCAATCCGTGGAGTGTAGTAGTACTCCAAGGTGGGAGCTCCCTGGGGATTTGGGTCATTCCCCAGGACCTGGTTCTGAGGAGGCGGGTTCTGATTGCCTTCCATCTCGTACTCATCCTCGGAGTCGCTGCTCAATTGGCCGTCTCTGCGCTCCACCGTAGCCAGTCTAGCTCGCTGTTGTTTTCGAAGTTGTTTGCAGGTGCGCTCAATCTCAGGATTCAACGGCAGTAAACCTCCCGACTGGCTACGGGTCATGCACTATCTGCACACAATCAAGCAATGCAAACCCGTGAAGGCACAAGTGGGAAGGAACAAAAACACAATGCAAAAATGAAAATGCTAAAGTAACAGAAATCACTTTTCTTCAACAACCTAGCCGTCCCCGGCAACGGCGCCAAAAACTTGACTCACTCTACTGTCACTCTAGAAAATGGCCAAGTGCAACCACTTCCTAAAGCGTAGTATAGCGGGTTTGGGTTTTATTGTCAACCCGGTTCCTAGATGTGATGACTACTCGGTGAATTCTTGTTATTTAGCGGTGAACTTTTAGTGCAACTCAAGCAAACAAAACACAAAGCAAGTAAACGGTTGTTGTCAAGTCAAGAGAGGTCACCCGGATATGGTTCCCCCTAGACTGCAGTTAAGTCGGATTGCAATTTACCAAGTTCAGTTTTCATGAAAGTTATACTGCGGAAGGTTCTCAATTAGCCTGAAGTCTCGACTAAAGGTCTCCAGACCCTCTCAATCTGAGTCTCTAGCGGGCGACTAACCTCCACCGGAGTAAACAGATTGAGGCCCTAATGAACCAAACCTCCACTACCGAATTAACTTCGGTACAGAATAGCGAATTGGCTCCTCGACTAAAGTCACCAATTCGCCACCTTCGATTAAGGGTACTCTATCAACCTAGGCAGATATTCTCATTCCAGGTCAAAGCAGAAACAACAGGAATTTGATCAGGATTCAAGTCATTCAATCATGCAAACCTCAATCGAATATAATCAATTCACAAACTCTGTACTTGGGTTCATACAATCAGACCTAGCATACAAATCTAGGGTTCCCCCATACCCAGATGAATGGGGAAACTACTCCATAGAGAAAGAAGCAAAAGCAGATTCAGACGCGGAAATCATACTGTGAAGATGGATTTCTGCTCCTGGACGTTTAATCGCACTTCTCCAAGCTCAAGCCGGGCTCCAATGGTGTTGAAGATCGATCTATGGCGCTTGGGAACTCTGGTTCGTCGCTTTCTCTCTCTAGGTATCGCTTTCTCTCTCAAAAACTCGGAACCCTCTGAAAATTGGCCTTCTTCCTCTTTTAACAGCTGCCATCGCGATACCTGGTCGGGTATTCTGGGGTTCGACCGGGTATTTCCAGAACGCGCCGTTTCACTAAGAGGAGAAATCCCCGGTCCATCCTCATAATCCCCGACCGGGGATTTAAGGCCATCGCCCGGGCCCCCTTCTGCTTCTCACGAGTGCCCGAAAGGAAAAATACCCGGTCAAGGCCAGAATATACCCGGTCGGGTATTTCTTCCTTTGGCCGGGTATTTTGGTCCAACAGCCTCCTTTGCCCCAACTTCGCTCCTTTCGACCCGGAACTCGTTCCTTCGCCTCGATTCCAACGCCGGGACCTGAAATATGACATAAACACACAACCTAGCGTGAAATCGGCTTAAAACACGAGATTCCTCATCACAGACGGCTTCAGAATTGGGGTGAAAACATGTATAATTATCGGTCTATCAGCCACCCTCAAGCGGCGTAGTTTCAACAAAATCCGCAGACTGAAAGCTGACGCCGGGCGGTGGATTGAGGAGGACGAGGAGCTCAAACAGCTAGTTCGTACCTTCTACGTTACCCTCTTCACAGCTTGCCAGACAAGGGCGGATATCCTTCCTGCTTACTTCCCAAGCCTGGAGGAGAGTGTGGATTCCTTGGAGTTGGACATTCACCCGATGGAAGTTCTATCCGCAATCAAGTCTATGGGATCTAATAAAGCGCCCGAAAAAGATGGCTACCAGCCACTCTTTTTCCAACGTTGCTGGGAGACAGTTGGTGAAGCGTTTTCGGGATTCATTACGTAGTGCTTCAGGTGCCCTGACAGGGTGTCTCAAATAAACGCCACCCTGTTGGCGCTCATCCCGAAGAAACAGAACCCCTCCTCAGTGTCTGAGTTTAGGCCCATTAGTTTGTGCAACGTCTCCTACAAAGCTTTGACCAAATGCTTGGCAAATAGGTTGAAGCCGCTGATGCCGAAACTGATCAAGCCCAACCAGACAAGTTTTGTGCCTGGGCGTAGAATCCAAAACAACATCATCATCCTTCAGGAGGTGGTGCACACGATGCAGACGCGGAAAGGCAAAGTGGGTCACATGGTGCTTAAAATCGACTTGGCTAAGGCGTACGACAGGCTAGATTGGTCGTTCATTGCGACAACGATGGTTGCTGCGGGCCTTCCCGAGAAGTTCATGCAAGCTACGATGAGCTGTATTACAACGGCTTCTTTTGAGGTACTTTGGGGCGGCAGCGGTACGGAACCCTTCACCCCCACGAGGGGTCTTCGACAGGGCTGCCCCCTCTCACCTTATATATGCACCCTATGCATTGAACGTCTCTCTCACCTTATACAGAACTTAGTTCAAAGGAAAGTGTGGCGACCCATCCAGCTCGTAAGAGGGGGTGTGGAACTAACCCATCTTTTCTTTGCCGATGACTTAGTTTTGTTTGCAGAGGCGAGTCTGGAACAAGCAGATATGATCCTCAAGTGCCTAAATGACTTCTGTGGCGCCTCGGGTGAGCTGGTTAGTCGTGACAAGTCGAGGATCTTCTTCTCCAAATGCTTGAAAAGAGACGTTTGTAAGAGTATTAGTGATAAGCTGGCCATCCCAATGACGCAAGACTTGGGACGCTACCTTGGGGTCCCGGTACTCCACGGGCGTATCACTAAACAGACTTACAAATATATCATGGATAAGATTGATCAACGTCTTGCAGGTTGGAAAGCGGATAACCTATCTCTTGCAGGGCGTGTGACTTTGGCCATGTCGGTGCTCAATGCCTTGCCGTCCTATGCGATGCAAACGGCAATGCTTCCTGCGAGTGTTTGTGACTACTTGGATCGCAAAATTCGAGCTTTTATTTGGGGATCCCAGCAAGGCAGACGTCGGATCCACCTTATAAACTGGGAAACTGTTTGTCTCCCAAAGAGCCAGGGAGGGTTGGGTCTGAGATCGGCAAGAGAACTGAACACAACGTACTTCCTTAAGCTAGCTTGGACAATCCTCAAGCACCCGGAGGAACTTTGGGTCCGGGTCCTCAAGGAGAAGTATTTGAGGGAAGGACCCGACGGAGTGGAGCTGAGAAAACGAACCCGGTGTTCCCATCTCTGGCACGGTGTGAGGCGTGTGTGGGGAATAATGCTGAACGGAACTCGGTGGAGTGTGAGAAATGGCCAATCTACTTTGTTCTGGACTGATAAATGGACGGACAGCGGCACGGCCCTTGAAGAGTTCGCCCGAACGGAAGAGGAGGGATTCCAAGCACAAGCTACAGTCGCCGATATGACCTTGGAAACTGGTGAGTGGAATTTTGATCTTATTGCTCGCTTCTTACCTATGGATCTGGCCTTGCAGGTTGTCGGAATGCCACCTCCACGCGAGCATCTTGGTGAGGACGAAATCGTTTGGGGACTTGAAGAGAAGGGGAACTTCACGATCAAGTCCGCCTACCAACTGGCAGCCGACATCGACGGGGAGGACGCTGACGACGGGTGGCAGAAGGTGTGGAGGTGGCCAGGTCCAAACCGGGTGAGGCATTTCCTGTGGCTGATGGCGCATGGCTCACTGCTAACCAACGTGGAACGGGAGCGACGACACCTCTCGACCTCAACACTGTGTACAAGATGCAAACAAGAAGAGGAATCACCAGAGCACGTCTTCCGCAATTGTGTCTATGCGAGGGAAGTTTGGAAGCAGACCCTTCCAACGGCGGTGAACACCCATGCCGACCAGCAGAGCTTCAAGGAGTGGTTCATGCACCACTTGTCGAGTCCAGAGAAACAGGTACGATTTGGCTTCACGTGTTGGTTCCTATGGCGTTCGCGGAATGACTACGTCTTCTCAGCCATTGAGGAAGCACCTAATAAGTTTGCGCAAAAGATCCTAGCCTGGGAGGTCATTGCGCAAAAGAGTAAAGCAGCGGAACAAGCTATATCACTGGGGAGGTCGGGGCTGAGTCGAGACGTGGCTGTAGGGTGGAGACCAGCCCCGACGGGGTGGATCACAGTGAACTCCGATGGCTCACTTCTTCGTCCATCGGGGTCAACCGCTGCAGGAGGTGCGCTTCGTGACGGGCAGGGTCGCTTGTTGGGTGCTTTCTCAATGAATCTGGGGAGATGTACGATCACTCGCGCGGAGCTATGGGGCGCACTACAGGGACTCCAGGCGGCATGGGATGCAGGATACAAAAAGGTCGAGGTTCAGCTAGACTCGACGACAGCTGTTCACCTCCTCTCTTCCACTTGTCCGACCAGTCACCAGCATGCTAGCCTGGTTCTTGCTTTTCGGGAACTGCAGAGCAGGGACTGGGAAGTTAGAGTGCAACATATTTACAGAGAGGCGAATTTCTTAGCTGATTGTTTAGCTCACAAGGGTCACCTGTTAGACCCTGGCTCTATTAGTACTTTCTTTTCCGATCCTGACATTGATCGTTGGCTCTTGTACGATTCGGTTGGCGGTTTTGTTGTCCGTTCGATTAAGTAATCTGAGGTAATGGTGCTTGCACCTTTTTTTTAAAAAAAAAAAGTGCTATCCCATCGCTCTACGGTAGGAATGGAGATGTCAGGTTGGGTAAGTATTTCAATATTTATATTTGTTTTGTGGTGATCCGATTTATGTTGGGTGTTTTATTTTGAGAAATGGGTTGAAATGGATCTACCCATACAAATATCTATTTTAACAGAAAAGAAGCAAACTATAACATGGTAAATATAGTTAGATTTTTTGAGATATAAAAACTTTTAACTATTTATAATTTTATTATAAATAAAATATGATGTAGTAAACTTAAAATTATAAGTATTTTGAATAAAGTTACAAGTAATTTAGACAAAAAGGGTGAAGAATGGAGCGGATCGGGTCAGGTCGAAGAAAGTACTCCTGTCTGCCATGCATACGAGACGGGTATTACCCGGCCCAAAACAGGTTAAACAAATCAGGTAAGACGGGTGAAGTCAAAATTCTCATCCCTATTTTAGGGGGTGTTATGTTAAAGCTATACCCTTATGTATAACTATTTTTTTGTCCCTAATTTGTCTTAATAAAAACTAATGATATATAATACTTCACCCACTTTTAACTATTTAGTTGAAATATAATAGTTCATAATATTGTTTGGGTAAACTACTCTCACAAAATTTATGTAGTGTCATAATTGAAAGAAGAAATCCCACCGCAGGACCTGGTACTGCACACGCAGACTGCTTTTACTGCTCATGTTGACCGAGATGTACTGTTATAATCCGGAAGCTGGCGCTGTGTGGGATGGCGTTGGGTGGGGGCTCATTGGAATCGGACGGGTGTTTGGCGGGTCGGTTGGGATGGAACTTGGTCGTTGGGCTGTTTTGGTCTGCTGGATCGGTTGTGGTCCACGAACGCGTTGGTCACTAGGGCCCTCTCGGTGGCTGGAGCCTGCCCAGTTGCTTGATTGGATGGATTTAAGGCGGCCGGTCTATTTTCCTTGGCAGCTGTGTCAGGGCCTTTGCAAGCGATCGACGTATCCGTGGGTGGGAGACTCAGAGATGGTGGGCCATAGGGGGACTGGAAGGGTTTATTGAAAGGAGATGTACTGCTCAGTGGCTCTGCAAGTGGCTTAGGGCAGGGTCAGAGTATTTGAGGTGTGGAGCGTTTAAGAGGTGGGAGTCGTGCCGGTTTCAGAGGCTGAGAGAGAAGGGAGGTATGGGAGAAGAGAGGTATGTCTTGATGATGTAGACTGGGCATACTTTCTGAAACTGGAAAGGTAATTGAGGGGACTAATCAGAGAAGCAGAGAAAGAAAAAAAAATATGAGGGGATAGAAGCTTGGTCAGGGAAGCAGAAAAATGAGATTGACGGATGGCAGTGATATTTCGTTCGTTTGCTTGGTGTGGTTAACCTAATCTACCCGTGGTACTATATTCTCTCTCATCGAGGTCAGAGAAGCACTCTTCTCTTGAAATATATCTTCCTCTTTCTTTGTATTCGTTTTCTCTTCCTTTTCTTGACTGGGTTCGTTCTCTCTCTTTCTATCTAAAAAATGGGGTTTCTTTGATCCTCTTTTTCCAGGTTTCTTCATCGCCGCTCTCAGGAAAAGAAGGATCCGAGCTCTGCATCAGAGTTGATTCATCCTTCAACTGTGAATCTCCTATGGTGAGTCGTTATATGGATGCTTTGTATTTCGTTTGTTTCAGTGGATCGATCAGAGTTCCCTGATTTCGTTTGTTCCGTTGTTTTGAGCTATCAAGAAAGGGATTTGAGTGTCCTGGAGTGGATTTGGAGCTATTTGGAAGAGGGGGGGAGGATTCGAAGAACACCCAGAACCACAGGTTCTATACTGATTTCATGTGATTGTTCCTTTGTCTCTCAAAATTTTGTTTCTGTCGTAATGGTTTATATTGATCATCTTTTGTTTTCTCTCTACTTTTGGCTCTCTTCTCATTTTCGAAACCAGTAGAGCTTGGAGCAATCAACTGGCAAATTTGAGAGGGTCGGAGAGGAATTGGAAGAGACTCAGATCCCCAAAGTATGTTTTCTGTGTTTTCCTAATTGAGATTTATGTTACTCTTTCATCACTTTAAATCTTAATGCACTTTCTCTTGCTTGAACTCTCTCGCCATTTTCGATCTCAAATCCTCTCCTTCATCCCCAATCTTCTGAATCTTTTATCTTCATCCCTTCTCTCTCCTTCACTCCCTCTCCCTTCTCTCCACCTACGCCTTCCTCAACCTTTCCTCGATCCCATCTCAAATGGATTTCTTACCAAACTGTTTCTTCCTCAGAAACATCTCATTAATTGGTTTCTTTCTTTTCTTCTCACCTTCAAAAGATTGGTTGGAGCAAGAAGGGAGTGAGCTCTGCGTTGTCCACGGTGGGAAACTGAACAACAGATTCAAGCGGTCATTGCAAGCGGCCACCTAGGAATGGCCGATAATCCATCTCTGACGTGGAGAGAACGCGGAGAAGACCTAGAATCGCCAGATCTGCTGCACCTATTCCTTTGTTGATCGGGGTTGGACAATACCCACGACCCGGGAAGACGAAGTCCACGGCAAAGGGAAACCAGATTTGCGAACCATGCCGTTGAAAGGTGAGGTTTTGATGGTTTTGCTTTATCTTTTTTTCTGTGGTGCTTAGTATTTTCCAGCTTTGTAATTCTTTTTCTTCTCTTTTCCAAAGAAATGCAGGCGACCAGTTCTTGACAGAGATTTCGTTGGTCGGGGGTGGATTACTTGGATTTGAAGGGCAATCCGAAAATGGATTCCGGGTGAGATTTCTCGCTATCTCTCATCCATCGGTGTTGAGTACCTCTATATCTTACTCTGGTTCTTCTCTGTTTTCCTTTTTCGGCGGTGTTTATGAAGCAATCTCCTCATTGTTAGGCGGTCAATTACGCCAGTAAGGTCGCCTTTGCTGGAGCAAGAAGTAATCGGTTCTAAGATGAGTGGAACCTTTGGTTGGTCAAGCTGAGTGGAACCCTTGGTTGGTCAATGGATTTTAAGGGTACAGAGAGGGCTGCAAGAAGATGCAGATCAACGTATTGCCGTTTTGCATTTGGTAATTGTTTCTTTAATGATTGAGTTTGCCTTGCCTTCATGAATCTCATCTTTTCTTTGCTATTGATGACCACAATTTGACTTCAACTCTGTCATTTTTTCAGCTGTATTCTTAGACTACAACGAAAGTGGTTGGGTGTTTGGAACAAGGAATGAACACATGTGTACGCTGGATTATCCCATGGTGATGGATTTTTAATCTTGTCATCCGCTTTTTGTATTGTCTTTGGCCCATTGCGGTTGCAGTAGGTTGCATTCGGCTTTCGGGTAATGATATTCTTCTTTTGTGTTGTTTGTGTGCTTTCTCTGCTCTTAATGTTGAGCATATTGTTCGTTTGTGGATTAGGAGATGATGTTATTCGTCTGTCTGTTTGGCTGATAGTGTCTTTTTCCCCATTGATGCACCGACGAGAAAATTTGGTCTCCTGCTGTGGCCTTTCATAGGATTATGACAACAAATTTTTATTGTATAGCTGTTGGCTGTAGAATGATCAAATCAATACCAGCAAGCCTTCAAACTGCTATTCACCATTTGTTTTCCCTTACAACTAACCGGTTTTCTTGGTGTGCCAATGATTGAAAATGTGATTCAAGCCCTCCATAATTGTAAAATGTGTACTTTGTGAAGGCATTCTAGAGACAGGTGTCAGGCTAAAATATTTTCATTACAGCTTTTTTTAACACTTTGGTGGGGAACTTTGTTCAAAAGTATCTGTAGATTGATAGAAGTTTGGCGATAAATTTTGCTTTTGAGGGTTCCCCCTGTAATGTTTATTGTTGATCAGTTTTCCCTAAAAATTCTTTGCTTGGTTGGTTTGGGAAGTTCTTGGGTAGGGAAGCTTCAATATTTCAACTTATTTGTCTTAACCGGTTCGATGTAGTCTGTGCTACAACTGTAATTTGCAACAGATCCATTTCGGTATCTCTTTTGCTGTATAGCGAACCAGATTTTCTTGATTTCTTCTCTTCTCTTTCAACTGCGTGGATTTGAGTGGTCCAAGGACTCTCTTTGCCATGATCCTTACTTAACTTAATGAGATAATAGTTAGGCGTGGCTCCTTGGATGTTGTATGGAGATTTGGTAACAAGTCTGCATAGTAAGATAAGGATGGAGTCGCACCTCTTTTATTCCTGGAGAAAGTATGTTGGATATGAGTAGTGTAGTATCTAAGTATAAATGAGATAAAATCCGAGGATTGCATGTAGATAATTGTAAACAAACCACAAAAGTCTAGCTCCATGACTTGTCAGTTTTTATATCCCTGTCTTCTTTGTGTTCTCGGGTCGTGCTGCTGATACAAAATGGATCCAAATCTTGAATAACCCGTAACAAACCACTTTGAACAAAGATCGGGTTGTGAGATGATTCATGAATATGCAATGGTACTGGTCCGCTGGATGCAGTATACACAGCCCAACAAAGAAACAAAAAGACAGACATTTTTACCCGTGCTAGCCGCGATAAAGAGCGCTGCCTCAAATGTAAAACAGGTGGAGTGTAGGCCCAAACAACAAAGCTCAACGTCCATTCGTTTTATGACACCGTCACGGACAGTTTGGCCTTTCGAATCCCTGAACTGTCGCAAGGCTTCCGAAGAAACCAACCTCTGCGCCCTCGATCGCAAACCGCCGCGAAAGCCCCATACTTGGACCGCAGGAAATTCCTGCCACAAAGGTGGGTCCTCGACTACTTCTACGTCGCCATTCTTACAGTTCCTAAAATTACTGCTCATCAGTTTCTTCGTTGGGAAATCAGAAACCACACTTGAAATGGCCACGTCGCGGCAAGATCGGGAACGTGCACGATGCGATGCCATTGTCCCCACCGATCTTTAGGGTGAGTGCACTCAATTTTGGCTCGTTGGTCCTGTGAACATTATCGATTCCAATACGACCGCCCACTAAAAAAGGCTGGCCGCTTTGCTAAATCACAAAATCTTGAACTGTGTTACAGATCCTGTTGCATCTTCCGACACCTTTCGAGGTTTACGTTTGGGTTGCAACCATCGTACTGTGGTTGCACGGCTTGTCAGGTTATGGTTTCAATTCAGGAGAGGGAACATGAGGAGGAAGAGAACCATGCACATGCTTTGGCTGGACAAAAAGGTTGTTGATTAAACACCAGACATCTTTGCAAGATCTCACCATTCTGCATTTTTCATTATAACAAATTTGTGCATGGTGCTTTCAGCACTTAGATTACAAAGAATCTGAACAATTTCTCACATGCCAAAGGAGTGTTTCAATGATCGGCTGCTTTCTTACAGGACCGATTCCTCGAGGGAATGGTTGAGGAGGAGGACATCAGGGAAATTTCCACAAAAATCAAAGTCAACAAGCTCCATCGACTGGATACAGTTGTTGCTGTCCCTGCAAGAGGAACGGGTCGGATTGTTCACAGAGAATTACGCTTATTGCTGACATCCACAGCACATTTCCTACATTCACGAGGACCCCGAGAATCCCCAATTTCCCGTTCGCTCATACATAAACTCTGACTTTTCAGTGGCGCCAAGGCAAACAGATAGCTACGACTGCCATTCAGGTGCGCTTTCATTTGTTTATCTCATTACAATATCCTAATAAATGTTTTTGTGCCTTAACTCAATTTTATGATTTAGACATCACGGAATGCGTTAGGCGCCTCACAGTCCCAAGAACAATTGATGGAACCTTGAAAGAGTTCCTTTTGGTCATCGAGGATGCGTGGTATGTTTTCAAGAATTAATAACCATTATTTCCTTTATGAAAATTGACAGAATAACATATTTATTATTACAAACAGTGGAGCAAAGGCCGTGGTTCGTCACCGTGGCTATGACATAGATGACTATTTAAAGGATGCACCAACTGCTGAAGCTTGCTTGCCTCTTATCACAACTGTTTAGTTAGTGATAGACCGATAATTACACATGTTTTCACCCCTATTCTGAAGCCGTTTGTGATGTGGAATCTCGTGTTTTAAGCCGATTTCACGCTAGGTTGTGTGTTTATGTCATATTTCAGGACCCGGCGTTGGAATCGAGGCGGAGAAACGAGTTCTGGGTCGAAAGGAGCCGAGTTGGGACTAAGGGGGCTGCAGGAGGAAAATACCCGGTCGGATGGCAAAATACCCGACCGGGTATTTATCGTTTTTGGCACCCGTGAGAAGCAGAAGGGGGCCCGGGCGATGGCCTTAAATCCCCGGTCGGGGATTTTGATGTTGGACCGGGGATTTTCCCCAAAGTGGAACGTCGCGTTTTATGAAATACCCGGTCGAACCCTGAAATACCCGACCGGGTATTTCGACCGGGGATCGCGAACGCAGGCTGTTAAAAGCCTGTTTTGTGCGTTTTTGAGGGAGAGAGCTGGGTTTTGGATCCCAAACACCCAAGGGACGAACCAAAGAAAGAGAGGGCGATTTGAGGGCATTCTTGGAGTGGAATTGGAGGATTTCTTCGCCTTGGAAGCTCGAGGAACAAGCCCGGACTTGAAGACTGATCATCTGAAGATTCTTACTGCAGTCTCTCTCTTCTCTATGGAGTAACTTCCCTTCACTTAGGTTTTGAGGAACCCTAGCTATGTTTGTTTGATTGGATGATTGTATGAGTACTCTGGCTTGATAATCTTGAGTTCATATTCAATCTATGCATGTTTTCACGATTCAATTCTGCTTTAGTCGAGATTATTGATTCTGCTTTGATCCTATGAGAGCGAATACCTGATTAGGTCAATAGAGCACCATAGATTGATAGTAGTGGATCGATTGCTTTAGTCGAGGGTTGATTCACTGCTTTGTATCGATTGAGAACCTCATTCGATAGAGGGAGTCTAGTTCAGAACGCCTTGATCGATTGTTCTAGAGAAGGATACGTCCCTCTAGGCAATTGACTCAAGAGGGCCTTGTTCCTTTAGTCGAGACTCAAGGTCTAGTCAAGGATTCTCCGCATTGTGAATGAAAGTGAAACAAGTTAGAGATCATCAATCGTTAATCTGGCTAGTGGCTAGGGGGAATCATACCTAAGTGAGTTCCCAACCTGTAATTAGAATAACTTTAACTGTAGTTTGCTAGAGTAGTTTTAGTTCTTTCATCTTAATCTGTTTTGCTAGATAATGAACTGAAGCTGAGTAATAGTAACTCTAGAGACCCGTGGATTCGATATTTATTACTTGAGCCACTATACTCCCTTTCATTGGTTACACTTGGCCATTGTTAGGAGTTGTGTCATAGCGAGTCAAGTTTTTGGCGCCGTTGCCGGGGACTTTCTAGAGTTTTAGGAAAGGCAGAAGTTTGTTACTTTAGCGTTTTTCTTTTCTTTTCCACCCTTGCTTTTCACTTGGGTGTTTTGTTTCTGTTGGTGCAGATCTGAATCATGGATCCTCATG